CTTCTCAGAGTTTAATTTTAAATTCTGTAGGCTGCACAGAGGTAGAGACCCCTGAGGATTTGAAGAGTGCCTTCAAGATAGTGTCAGGGTCCACCTCAGCTGGAGGATTTGAGGATGTACTTGTACTTGACCGGCGTGGTTCCCCTTCTTTCTTCACTGAAGGGGTATCACTCAGTCGGCTGGAGGATTAAAAAAAAAAGCAGTATTTAACATCTCATAATGAAATAAAATTTAACACTGTACCTGCATTTACTGTTCTTAATCTTGCCCCTTCCCAATATTAGAGATAAAGGTTTTTAATATGTTTTCCTCACAAGAAATCTTCCTCATCTCAGACTTGTTTTGAACCTCAGGGCTGGGAACACTATGGAGTCAAGCTATATTGCACTCAGCTCATAGAGCATCATAGAGAGAAAGAGGAGAATATTCATGGGACAACAATTCACCAGCAGTCTTCCTCACTTCAGGTTCTCCTCAAAACATGACTTGGAAATGTGTTTGGTTCTTCCCCCCACCCAAAGGACACTTACAGCAATATAGGCTGGTCTGAGGTGATGATATTCCCATTCATATGAAGATTACATTTCATTGGTTGACCTAAACAAAAACACAATTAAAAAGTCCTTCTATCAGAATTGTGGTAATTCATCACATCAGTGCAAGCAATAGAGTTCCACGTGCTGGGAAAACATAAGAAAGAACAGCTGATACATCTCGTTGCAAAATCACAGCAACGGAAGAGCCACTGAAACATTCAGTACAATAGGAAGAATCACACTGATTAAGAAATTACATATAGGTACAAAATCCTTAGCAGAGACACAAGAGAATCTCTCATTCTCAGCTGTCTGCTCCTCATCTGAATTTGTAACATGTCACTCATCTAGAGAAAGAAAAAGCAACTATTTCCAGCTAAAAATTAGCAACTTCAGCCTGTAACAACATTGCAGGTAGATCCAGATTAACAACTGCATTGTTCAAAGTTTATGGAGAACCTTATACTGTCTTACAAGTCCGATTCAAAATGTCTCTGACTACGCCTTGAGACTTTTGCAAATATTAGTTTCACTTGTACTTCACAAACAGCTATTCTGTAAGCACATAAAGGCTTCCTAAAGACTGTCTAGCTCCTGGCACTGGATTAGAAACAGAAGACATTTAATCTGGAAATTAGACCACTGGAGTCACCAGGACCCTGCCTCTAAATTTGAGTATTCTCCTTCTAGGAAAATGTTATTTTGAGTATCACTTAAAATAGCATATATTCAGCCAGTTACATAGGAGCGTATTACATTGTCTAGCTCTTGAACTGATTTTCTGGCATTTCCTCTCTCGTGGTAGCATACGAGCATCCGCAATGCTTTTAAACTCTCCACTGAGGTGGAGAAGTCTTTATTGATTTATCCAGCCTAAATGCAACTCTGGCCTCAAACTTACCATCTAAGCACCTGTTGTTGTATTTCTTATATGCTGTGATAGCATCTTCTTTCTTCACAAATACTACCTCAGCAACTCCAGGGTGCACCAGCCGGGCTCGCTTCAGAGCGCCGCACACACAGAATAATTCCTGAGAGCAGATAGTCATAACCACAGTCACAACAAAGACACTGAGTGAGAAAGGCTGAGTTTCCTAATTGTACCACCTCTCCTGCTTAGTAAACAGAGAGCAGAATTTTGCCACTTGCCTTACTGTGTTTGATATGGTATGAGTACTTGGCATTAGTAATACAGGTTGCACAAAGCTCCATACTGCTATCCAACACAAGCAGAAAAGTTCAAAGCCAGTACTCCATACTGTTTGTCACACATGAAGACCAGGCTCATTCTCAGCCTGCTGAGAATGGAAATGCCCAGGTAATTTGGATGGGGGCATAAGTCTGAGAAGAACATCAAGCATCATCTGGCATGACTTCTTCTAAATGATGCCAGGTACCTCAGTTCACCCTAGAAATGGGATTTTTGTCCCAATCATCTTAAGCACACACTTTTTAAAAAGAAGTGAATAAAAACCAAACAAAAAACCCCAGGAATTCAAAGTTTTGCAAGGAAAGTAAACCCACATCATACCCCTCTTCACTGCACTCCCCATAGATCAAGTAATTTATCCAAAGAGGTAGGATAAGGGAAGGAAGCTTCACTCATCCATGGTTTGGCACTAAGCAACACTCACAACAATGTCTTCCTCTGTGACGCGAGGATGCAGATTGTTCACGGTCATCTTTGTGCCTTCCAAAGGACTGAACGCCAGCTGGCAACACAAACAAATGCATCATATAAAAAAAGGTCAGAAATGCAACAGGCAAGACAGCACAGCAGAAGAATTAAGAAAAAAGTCACCAAAGGGATGATTGGGAAAGTCTGTACGCACACACACACATAAAGGAGACAGCTACAGCTAGTAAAGGGAAGTATCAATGCTTAACAAAGCCCAGCATATCTGATGGTGAAAAGGAACCCCTTTTCCACGCTGACTTCTCTCTGAAGTAAGTTTTCTTTTTCATTCCCAAGTATAACAGTACTATCATCCACATACATACACACACAGTACTCTCTGGTCATGCCTACACTTTTAAGCACGTGTCTCTGCTGCACTCTGCACCAGCCAGCAAACCCCAGAAGAGGGCTCCAGCCTGCCAAAAGCACGTTGAACTCAACATGCCTGGGAACAAACACCTGGTGGGTTACCTAACATCAGGCAGTTTGGCAAAGCAATTCCAGACAGGTTGTCTACAAATTGTCTGAAAGATCTTATGTAGACATCAAGAAGCAAGAATCCTGTTTTCCTCTTTGCTAACAGGAGCACACAGAAGACAACATAAGTAGTAGTGTTAAAACACCATTCCTAGGGACATGGAAGCCACCAAGGAGGGTCCAAACAACAACTGCCACCTCCCTGTAAGATGGATTCCTCCAGCACCATGTGCTCCCATGCCAGATAGAAGAGAGAAGCAAGTTGCACTGAGAATTCCCAGTCTCTTAATAAACACTCAAGAAACCGTTGTTTAGACAGGTTTCAGATTCTTGGGACATGGGTTGCAGTTATCAGAACAAGCTTGTTGGAGTCACAGGAACAATAGTGGAAGGCAGGCAGAAATGAGCTGCTTACATAACTGATGAACAGCAAGTTTCACAGACTTCTATGAAGAGCATCTCCCACTTCCCTGAACTCACCTCAACAGGTGCTGGTTCTTTTGGAGGCTCCTCCTTTGTCACTAAAGTCCGGGACATGTTTGTCAAGGCCTTTGTCCGCATAGGAGAGGGAGGCGCAGGTGGAGCTGTGTACGTATCATTCTGGACCACTTTAGTCAGGGGAACAGTCTTGGACAGAGAGAATTTATTGCCACTCAGCCCAGTCTACAGGAAGACATAATAAGCTATCTCTGAGAATTGCAGGCTACAAAAGTCACCACGCTTTTTCAAGCGCCAACAGCAGGAGAGCATTACTAGCATTCACTAAGAACTGCTTGTCCTTCCTGGTGTCACTACAGTGCTGAAGACTTTTAGCTTTGAAGCAAAAATGAACTGAAGTTTCTGGGCATATTTTATCCCAGAAGAGTACTTTTTAGTTTCATACTCTTCTTAAATTAATTTTACAAGTGCAATTTGAATTTGAAAAGCTCATTTTCCAAAAGGAAGAGGAAAATCCAAAGATTTTCAAGTACTTTACACAGGTTACACGAAAGATTGCTCATTAAGATTGAGCTGCCTTAGTAAAAACAGCAATGCTTCTTCAGAAACACCAAGTCAGGGCACACAAAGACATGGAGCATAACCCTTCTAGTTAGAACTACCCGAGTTAAAAGCCAGACTAAAAATTGTGCTTGGTAGCTGCTGTGAACACTGGAGATAACACATTTACTCCTGAAAAAAAACAAACAAACAAACCATAAGGCTGTTTAAGGACCACAAATGGCCAGGAGCTCTATTCTGAATATGCATATGAGAAAAAAGCATGGGATAATTATTGCACTAGACTCTGTGTGATAGTAAAATGCTTTCTCAGAACCACTGAACCTATGTCCAACCCCATGTCTGAAACAGTGCTAGCTTCAAACACACATCAGGTTGACTCAGGGCCTTATCCAGTTAAATTATAAGTATCTGAGAAAGCCTCTCTGGGTCCCTGTGCCAGAGGCTGACCAATATCCTCAGAATTGCACAACATCCTCCCCCTCTCCCCACCTAATTAGAATTTCTTCTGCTACAACACATTTGTTGGTTCACTCCCAAAAAGGACCTGGGTTTTGCCCACAACCACGACCATGTAGTGAAAGAGTGGACAGATCTCACTTCAGCCTTCTCTTCTCAGCCTTAAAGAGACACCGCTCTCTCACCCTCTCCTCACACACTGTGCACTTCAGCCCGCTGACAATCCTGTTGTACTTGTTCCAGTCTGTCAGTATCTTGTATCACAGAACCCCAAAATAGGCACAGTACTCCAGGTGCATTCTCAAAAAGCCAGATGGGAATAATTATCTTCCTTGATTTGCTGGCTATGATCTTACCAATACACAATCTACGGTTGGCTTTCATTGCTGCAAGGATGCACTGCTAACTCATTCTTACTGTATCACCCAGAAGATACTCCAGGCTCCTTCCTACAAGGCCATTTTTCTAGCCAGTCAGTTCTCAGCTTAAGCTGCAGAGGGTTATCCCACCATCCCAAGAGCTGGACCTCGCATTTGTCTGGGTTGAAATTCCATGTTCTCCAGAGCACCAGTACTCCCCAACAAGCTGCTAACTAAAATTTTGCATGGCAAGGTATTTCCTGCTTCGATGTTCAGTCTCTAGAAGCAGCAGAAAGCTTTCCTTGCTTGCCTGCTCAAATAATAATGAGATAGGCTCAAAGCACTTTCCCAACAAGAAGAAAGTCAAGAGCTAACATGCAGCAACCTGCCGGCAAGGGAAAAAGCACACATTCTGTCTGCAAAAGGCCTATAAAACCACAGTCAGCCTAAAAGGGACTCTGTCCGAAAAAACAACACTAGAAGCATTGGCACAAAGGGAAGGGTGAAATGAAGAGTAAAGGTTTCAGGAGAAAGCATTGTTTACATACTTTAAAAGAATATAAGCCCTGTAAAGCCGCAGCCTGTGTGTCCACCCAATGTGAGCATGGCATGGCGGGGACTGTTCAGATAACCCCTTACCGCGTTGTGCAGGAAACTGTTTGTGGTGGTGATTTTCATCTGTTTGCTAGTAAGGGGAGAGACACTTTCATCATCATCTTCCACCTCATACAGACCCTGAAGAAAAGTAAGGTAACAGTTTATAAACAGGTAGATTTCATCTAGACATCATTTCCAAAAATAAGTAGTTCTTCCCACCTTTAGCCTTCTTCAGTTAATGAACATGACTACAGTGAACTCTACTCCTGTGCTTGCAGCTTGGGGACACAGAGCTGAAGGTACACAAGTCCATTTCAAGATGACAGTGTAAAAACTATCAAACTTCTTTTTCAGAAATGCCACAGTAAAGCTATTTCCCTAGATGTACTCCTTTGACCTCATTAGGACCAAAGAAACCACACTAATGGAAAAAAGCCCCAGTGCCTCACTTTTTAGCACCCTGCCACCTTTAAAGTCAAAGTCTGTGAATATGATTTTTTAATTAGTTTTTTTTTAAATGAATCAGATGCCTCCCAAATACATCTGAATCAAATTCTTTTGAATAGCCTGCTTTCCTCAGCACAGCACATATCCATTTAGCACTAGAAAACACTGCACTAGGAGATTTACTGAATGAATACTTAATATCCCAGTTCAACTTAATGCTCATAGCCCTGCCTTAAAATACTGAGGCTAACCCAAATATTTTTTAATGGACTCTAAATAATGTCAAGAAGAAGTCTATACACATATGACACTGCCCAGAACATAAGTAGTCACAACTCAAAACAGCTTCCCATTAATTCAGTACAAAGGTGAAGTAAAATAGAGGAATCAGCAACGAGAGTTCGCACAATATGTGGGTTGTCATAGTCAGCAAGATTCTGGTTTACAAACAGGAAAGCTGTTCCAGTTGCAGAAATGTTAAAGGAAAAAAAAACAAAAAAAAAGGATGGTAGAACAAAGAATTGTGCAGGAAAGAACTGGGAAAAATGCTAGCCATCAGGACAATGAACTTGAGTTTAAGACAAAGTGAAACAGATTCAAGGCTTATAGTGATGAGGTCAGACTAATGAAGACACTTCCTTAAGTGACAGCATCTGAAACAGGTGAGGGCAGCAGGTCAGTGCAGAGACAACATACACAAATAGCTAAAGTTACCATAATAGAGGCCAAAAAAATCCCCAGGATACGATATCGTGAATGTCAGTTTTCCAATATTTCATGTAATACTTCATATATACACACAAAATAAAGTCAGTCATAAGAAGTGTAATTCCTCTTTGAAAGCATCCAAGGTGGTAAGGTGGCTGGGGACTTTGACAAAGGCCTTTAAAATTATTCCCAGAAGAGACAGCACAAATTCTAGGGTCTTCCTCAAAGTTTGCTTCATAAGAGATATGGCAATTTTGATAGTACATCAGAATACCAGTTAACATCATTCACTATCAAGTTTCCAGCAGGGACCCACATCTGGGATTTCACAGGAAGGTTACTCCCTCTCCCACCTCACTGTAGAACATTTGACCATGTACAACCACATCCATTCTCTGAAGAGGCTGGCAGGATGGTGAATCAAAACAACCAACAACTTGATCTGATGTGGTGTCACTGAGAAATTTACAGAAAGACATCAGAGCTAAAGGTAACAGTCTCTAGAAAAGAAACATTAGCACATACAGATAAAAACTGGGAACAACTATTTCACATTCATATAATACACAAGGAATCAAGATCAATTAGACTAAATGAAAACTTCAATTACAATTAAAGTATCTTAATCACATGAAAATAGGGAGCTAAGCTTCTATAGAATTTCCAAACACTCCTCCTTTCTTTCCTACTTGAAGCCTCCTTTGCACCTGCCAATGTTTATGGACACCTTCCTTCCCCTCAGAAGGTAACAAAGAGCACAGAGTAGACACACACCTGTTTGTGTGTGTTGTTGTTCACCACATTGATCCTCGTTCCTGCTGGATGAGAGTGTCCAGGAACTGGAGCCTTCTGCTGCAGTTAGAGGGAAAGAACCAAAGCATTAAAACACTACAGCCCACCAGATTCCCATTTCAGAAGATTGGAATTGTTAGTTGATATCCTGAGACCACTACATGAAGCTCACTCTCCTGCTCTGGAAGCATATTACCATAATGTGTTATCAGATAATGTCTATGTTTCCTGTAATATGTTCAATATGAGATAGCTTCACTTAATCGAAGAAATTAAAGCCTAAGGTCACACAGAGAAACTGATTCAAATTACTTTTAGTCCAAGATCAGTGGGAAGGGGACTTAACTCCAGCCCTGACTAGATCTACGTTTCTGCCAATATAAAACCATGAATGGGTTAAATCAATATGTAAGCTTCTCTTCTTTGATGCTACAGGGAACCAAAGATACCTATTTCCATCAAACTCAACGAGCTGGGACACAACACAGCTTAGTTGAGTTGCATTTCAAATGAGAAGTATGTCCTGTCACACTAGAGCTGGAATAAGCTGCAGTGGAACAAAATGATGCATGGGGTACTGTAGCTGACCCTTCTGCAGTCTGTCATCCCATAAAACAGGGAAACCACAACAGAAGTAGTCAGGGAACATCACTGTACTAATCAACAACTGAAATCAAGCAGCAACTCTCTCAAAAACACCCTTTTGGTTTTTGCAAAAGCTGGAAACTGTCCATTACAGAAAAGAATGTGTCTTCTTACAAAAATACTCCATATAGGCAGTAAGATCTTCAGATTTGCATTTTCTCTAGACTGTAACTTACACCACAGCCCCCTCATGTTTCAATTTGCTAATCAATTTGGAAACAAAGGTACCTGCCCTCCAGAAACACCAGCAGAGCTATGGAAATTCTTTGGGTTGCAAAGACTTCTTTCTTTTCTTCATAAGAACCGAGACCACATTAGAGCTGTGTGCTGCATCTCAGATCAAGATACTTTACTTTGATTCTGCTTCCACATTTGGTAAGAGAAGAGGGCCGTGGGCAATTTGGAATTTTGGTATAAATCATTTAAAAAATGATTAGATAATGGCTCATGTGCATGGTTTTGTCTACAATCTTAATTACCATTATATCCTACAATATTTTTCCTTGCAATATGTTGTCTAAGAAACAGGAAAGTACTGTAGGTCTAACCAAGTCATACAAAAAAAACCGCAAACAGGTCATAGCAAATTACTGCTGTACCAAGTCTCTGGAAACTATTTTAAGTCCTAGAAACTTTGCAGAAAATGTTCAACTCCTAATGGCTGATGGTGGTGATCTGGCTTAGAAGGGACAGCATGAGTATTAACTACCCCAACTAACTAAAGACTGCTGAACAGACTGCTCTGTTGCTCTGACATTAGTCCTTCTTACTGCCGTAAGAATCCTCTCTCTTTCTTAGGTCAGCCTGGCAGTAAACCTGCAGAGTAATGGGAAATTTCCTAGGCTAACTGACTGAAGAAATAAGCTTGATGCTCTTGAGCAAAACCCACATCTGAACAGAAAGCAGGCTTTCAAACTGACGAGAACAAGAGATTTTCTGGGTACATGTAAGCACACTGTTGATCTTTGGGAGAAGGAAAATTAAAGAGATAGGCTAGGAACATCAGTTACATGCTTGTAGAGGTGAGGAACAAAATCACTCCTCAAACGATAATCCTGATGGTCTGCAAACTTGTCTTCTAACTCTACTCACTGTACTGAAAACACACACAGTTCAAGAGCAGTTGTTTCTCAGAGAGGTTTGCTAAGAATCAAGTTACTGTGCACATAGCAAAGTAAAATTAGAAAACTGACAAAAGAAATTGGCAGGTTAGGGTGATCAACTGATTATACTGCAATTGGAATAAATCTTGAGCCTCACTAGGAACAAACAATGTAATCAGCCAACTCCCTGGAAGCCAGGGCTTTCCTGAAAACCAGACAGGTAGAAATAGAGTAATTGTGGGAGAAGGGCTCATTAAGTTTTAGAACTTCTTAAAGATAAACATAGCTGTATATTCTAAACTGTTATCCCACCACCAGGATAAACGTGTCACCTAGACAGGGTAATCTACTACATCAGACTTGCAAAGAGAGGTGGTATAAAAATTACAAAAAACCCATACATTTTCTTTGTATTGAGGTAGGAAAGAAGCTACTTAACCACTCAGAATAACTACTTTAATGCTGACAGGAGAGCTGCTTTAGTCCTTATCAGGCCCAAAATTCAAATGAAAATTTAAACAAAAGCTGGGATTCTACAAAAAGCCCCACACAGCTGCAAAGACACCCAAAAGGCTCCGAACCCTGCCCTACAGGCTGGACTGAACTGTATCACCATTGCTTCTATGGTAAACGTGAGCATATTCATGTATCATCCCTTCTACCAGCTTGCTGCAGAATAACTGAAGGCCTCACAGGCGGCTTGCTCAACCTACTTGGATAGTTTTGGTGATTTTCATGGCTGGATTTACTGTCCCCATTGTTGGGCTGATAGCAGCTGGAGTGCTCCTTTTTAAGCTGATCTTCTCTCTAGCATCCACCACTTTGGTCACCTTTTCAGCAGCAACACTTTGCTGCTTACGGGAATTCAACATCTCCCGAGCATCCTGTACCTTCCCTTTGATTTTGAACCGAGCGTCCTTTTGAACCAGTTTTTCACGAGCATCTTTAACCCCCAGTTTGTGTCGGGCATCAGTGAGTCCTATCTTCTGTCGGGCATCAAACGTCCGCTGGAAGCTGACAGCTGGTGATGATCTGTTTAGAAGATTTTGCTGGACCCCAATGCGAGATCTTACACCTCCAAATACTGGCCTTGTGTTAAGCCTGTGGGGGAAAAAAAAGTTTCAGACATTATAAGATGGCCACAGTATCAATAAAAGTATTTGTGTTGCTGCAAACAAAAGGTCATTATTACTGCACAGAACTCCACTCGGGTTAGATGCCCAAATACAACAGTAGAGCTCCTAAGCTGTTTTATGCTGGATTTTACTTTCTACGTAAATAGCTAAGGAACTGATTTCCAAAATCCACCCTTAAGCTCACATTTACAAATTTAAGTAACTGGTCTGACTTCAGCTGTGCTAAGTACATACTACATTTAAACAAAATTCATCACCAACTTAGGTACTTTGGAGAAACCTTTGAAGAGGAGCAGAAACAGACATTCTAGCTTTAGGACTGAGCAGATCTGCTAAAGCATCTTTTGTAATACAATAATATGTCCTGTTACAAAGGAAAACACGGAACTACACCAGATTTCAAGAATTCTGGACAGCAAGTTCAGGCTTGTGGGAGTGTAGGAGGTTTGGACTTTAGGATGTACAAGCACCAGTACAAATCTCAGTTCAAAGCCACCAGTTTCAAAGTTTATTTAACTGCCAGCAAGAATACTGATCAGTCAAATAACTTTTTAACATCACTGCCTCTTCTCTAATCTGCTAAAAGAACTGCTGCACTCAATGGCCCTTACTTTTCAAGCACATCTTCATCACAATACTGAGCACAGAAAGCTAACAGCACACAGAAAGGACAGCATTCGTGCCTGTACACCAACTATTACTAAGAAGCAGCCCATTACGGAGTGAAAGCTGAAACTAGCTTCTCCTTACAGGTCTGATTCATGTCTTCAAAATCTCCCCTAAAAAGGAAACAGCTTGTCTAATTTTTTAATACAGTTCCTTCTTTAAGTATTTTTAAGGTTTTTTTTTTTTTTTGGTTGTTGTTGGGTTTTTCTTTCTTTTTTAAAAGATGACAAAGTGGTAAGAGAAATTTTAAAGTTAAGGTACTGAAAAAATGTTCTTGCTGTCAGCATTTTAAAATCCAAAATAAGCTACAGAGGGCTACAGTGTTCATATGTTTTCTGAAATTTGTTGTCCAGTATTGTAAAGTCTTAAAATATTTACCTAGAATTTGTTGTGATATTCAAAAGGGTAACATTACAAATTCAAATGATGATGCAATTTGAATTCTTCATACAGTTTTATATCAGTATTTTCTGATCTAACCCTACAATCTTAACATTATTTACAGTCATGTATTGTCAGTGGAGAGATCTGTAAAAAAATGAAATGAAAGGCTAACCCTCCAGTACTGTCTCTTTCATTCTTGTGTCCAGACAACTGGAGAGCTACGACTGGGGTCCCATTTTGTTACCTAGCTAAGAATGGCTGCTCTTTCAAACAGCCAAAACACATTAGCCAGAAGAAATAGGAGTATTATTAAGACTAGGAGTATTATTACTTAATTAAGAGTTATTATTGGAGGACTAACAGTACCCATAAAGCAACAGTCACAGAACAAGGCTTCCCTTGCAACTTAAAAAATATTTGGTTTAGCAACATTGAAAGCATTCAGTTAGAGTCCTGTAGAAGTGCTTGATGAGTGGTTCTTTTTAATGGACATAAAAGAAGTCAAAGTAAAACCAGAAATATATGTATCAGCATTTAAGCCAGACTTAGTTAAAACTGTTAATGACACAGACTAATGAAATCACTTAGGAAACTCTGTACTGAATATTACACCATCTCTGAAGACTTGTGTTTATCCTAATAAGCAACACTCTTCTGTACAGAACTGCTTACTCTGTAATAGCACTAGCTATTTAGGCATTTTGTGCCACAGCACCTGAAATACAAGGGAATCTCAAACACCTAATTCATTTTCAATTACTCCAAGTTCTGGTCTGAATATTTTGTGGATTAGTATATTTTATAGGTGAAGATTTTTCTGTTATTTCATCTAGACTACTGAACAACGATATAATGATTTAAGTTTATTCAGTTTATCCAGCCTTCACAAAGTCATTAGCTACTTCAGAAATCTTATAAAGTGAGCTAAACATGACAAACAAGAGAAATGCAAGACATGAAAATCCTTACAGTGCTGCAGAGGGATTATTGTTCAGCAAATAAAAGCAGGAAGAATTCCTGGAAGAAATGAGAGTTAAGAAGGGATTTGAAAAAGGAGGTGCCTGGCATATTAAGCAGCATAAGACTATTCCAAATACGCAGGATAACATGAATGAAAGTGCAAAGCCAAGGCTTTGTCTAGACTAGGATTTAAATATGTGTTTGAATGTTTTGATAGTACATGCTAGCAGAGAACTTTCAAAATACTGCTCTAGACATATAAGTGTAGACAGAGTTAAAACCCAAGATTCCCCAATGACCATTAAACAAAAAAAGATAACACAGATGGGGAGAAATCCCTCCACAAGATAATCAGAAGCACCAAGAGACTACAGCAAAAGGGGAAGATTAAAAGCTACCAAAGGAGAAGCCAGACAAGAACTGCCAACAGCTGCACTAGAGTAAATGGTCCAGCCTACACTGGAGACATCTGCCGCACAAAGGAAGGATCTAATCCTGTAGCTAATATGTAACACACTGCACATCCACACAAACATTTCAAACAATCTGTCAAGGTATCGTTAACTATCCTACAGAGACTACAGTTGCCAAGGGCCGGG